CCCAAAACCACCCCCCTGGGGTGTATACCCAGAAACCTAGGGTTTCATTTGGGGTGCGTGTAAGTGATTGCAGAAGGTAAATGTGAATTATTTTTTTTTAAGCTCCTGCTCTTTTCCCTCTCCTCTTGGGGCACAAAACCTCTTTCAAAGCTTCTCTTTTTAAAATGCACATTCGGGTGATTTTTCTTACCAGGAAAGAGTATTTTCCGTGATGAGCTATAAGAGCTTGGGGAGGGAGGGGGGGGATACATCCATCATCCATCGTCCCCTGGTTCCCAGCCGGGGCTCGGATGCTGCAGTTGTGTTTCTGTCCCTGCTGTGCCACCGTGCTGCTGCCAGTGGAAAAAAAAAAACAAACCACCTTTAAAAATGAATAATAATAATAATAAAAAAAAAAACAGGAGCTGGTACTTTTGGGTTTGAAAGGTAGATTTTAAATGATGTCTCCCCGTAATGAGCTGTTAAACTGTTGAGGTGGATTTAGGACATCGCAGGGACATCAAATCCAGCCTGGCAAGTGGGATTGCAAGTTAAAAAAAAAAGAGAAGTTGAAAGTACAAATTGCTCCTTCCTTTAAAACATGGGGGAGCTGTGTCCCTCCTGCCCCAAGAAGAGCTGGGGGAGGAAAAAAGTCACTAAATTTGTCAGACAGAGCCTGTGTCTGGCTTTTATGGGCTGTTTTCCCGGGTTTGGGTCGTGTGGCGGTGCTGTGCTCAGAGGTGCTCAGGTTTTATTTCCACCCCAGTATCCTAGAGATGGGACAGAGCTGCTGGGGGGGGACAGAAATGCCACCAAAGCTGAGGGAACGATGGCCACCGCTGGCCAGGGGTCAACCAGGACCGTGGGGCTGGGCAGGGACAATGTCCCAGTGGTGCTGAGAGTTTGGCAGCTGGGATTCTGGGGTCCCTCTTTGGGGATTCTGGGGTCCCTCTTTGGGGATTCTGGGGTCTCTTTTGGGGGATTCTGGGGTCCTCAGTGGGATGTTGGGGTCCCTTGTCAGGGATGCTGGGGTCCTCAGTGGGATACTGGTCTTCATCTCCGTGGCATGAAGGATGAACCCCTGGGACACAGCGGGAGGAAGATGAGGGTGCGATGGAGCTGGGTGCTCACAGGAGCCAGAGGTGATGGGGTGCTGGTGGAGGAAGGGGTGGCTGGGAGCATTGTAGGGGGATTTTGGGCTGATGAAGCAGGTGGGGCTTGTGCTGGAGAAGATGGGTGATGGTGTGAGGAGGGAGAAAAAGCAGATTTCTGGGGAGTTGGTGGAAAAGTTCTCGCTTCTGCTGAAACTCGCTGGGATGATGAGACGTGGGGTCTTGGGGGTTTTGGGTTTGGAGGATGGAGGGGTTTGGGGCAGGGAGGGCTGGCATGATGCGGGCTGCTCACGATGCCCATCCTGTCCAGAGCGGAGGTGTCTGCCGGGATGAGAACTTGCACAATTATTTTTTTCTTTTTAAAAAATAGTAAAAGCAAATAATCGTAGCTTCCCAAGGCTGTATTTGCTCAGCACACGCTGGAATTATGTTGAGGTCCTTTCCCGCTGGGACGGGCCAGAAAATAAGGACAATTCCTGAGTAAAAACTAAACTACATCCTTCAGGAACATCACTGCTGTGTAATTAGGCGTGTTTTAATTAGGGGCTTGCAGGAGGAATTTTGCTGTAAGGCTGGAGATGCTCAGCACCAGGACCCCCCCCTCTGTCCAGCTGCAGCTCCCTGGGCTTGCTTGGTGGGGGAAATATTCTGTAAAGCACTTGGAGAATAATTTGTTCTCCGTTATTTATGCTTTTAAACTATATAATACTTTATTCTATATTTGCTCTCACTTCTATATATTTATATAAAGTTATTACAGCCCCTTGAGGGAGCTGCGGAGCTCGCACTACTGTCATGTATATCACAGGGAAATAAGAAATTACTTAGCAAGTTGTTGGTTGTTTTTTTAATTATTTTTATTTTAATGCTGTACATTTGTGGGTGTAAAGGAATGGCTGCGAGTGCTCTAATGTACAAATTGTTCGTGTAGTTTGTTTGTCATGGAGCCGACGAGCTTTTTCCATAAGCAGTAACCGTGATTGAAGTAAGGATTTCTGATTTTGCAAGCGAGTGTGTTGGAAAATTAGGAAAACGGTAGTAAAATAACTGTCAGGAGTGAGGAGGTGGGATGATGAGGGGTGGCAATTAAGTTGTGTTCTGCCTGTGATGCCCCGTTTTCATAATTAGTAGTATCGCTTTTAGAAAATTAGCATCATTTAAAGTATACTTGTTTCAGGTATTTTTTGATTCATGATCAATTTAATCAGGTAATTAAATAAAATGAGCTCTAGGAGGCACCGCCTCTTCTTGTTTGCCCATAACATCATTTCTGGGCTGTGACCCCAAAGTCTTGGCACCCCTTGGCCCCGCTGGCGCTGAGCCCCTGCATCCCTCAGTATCCCCCAGCGATGGTGGTCCCTGTCCCCCTCTGTCGCTTTGGCATTTCCTCGTCCCCTCCAAGAAATCCCGATTAATGGGCTGGTGTTTCACAACCTGCCAGGAATTGCCGTTTGCCTGATATAATTTGGCATTTATAGACCATTGGTGCTTCAAAAAAAGGTCTTGGGTGCCGGGTTATTTCTGGGTGCCGGCGGCAGTGCTGGGTGCCCAGTTGGGGATCCCCCCCCTTGGAATTCGGCACTGGGGCTCTGGAGATGCTGCTGAGCCCCCTGTGGATGGGGAATGAGGGATTAAATCCAGCATTTCCACTGCTGGGGGGGTGTGCTGCCCTTTGGAGGGGTCACCTGGCTGAAAGCTTGTTGGAGAAACCCCTAAACCTGTTGTAAGCAATGCGATGCTTTTAGAAATTGAAACAAACAAATAAAGAAAATATTAAATAAATCCAAGTTTTAATTGTCGGGTTTATTCTGGAGAAAAGGCTAAATTAGATCAGAATTGGCAAACAAGGCGTTTCTTGTTTATTCCCATTTTGTATTTATTTTAGTTCCCCCAAGCTGTCTCTTAAAATTGAGTTTGCTCGGCGTTGGCGGAGCCGCTGCCAGGAGGATGCTCCGAGCTGCCCGTGGAGGGGTCCAGTCTTTACCAGGATGCGCCCTACGGGGAGGGGAACTTCACATTTAACAGCCAGAGGGGGAATATTTTCTTTCCAATGTCCCCAAACCATCTCCCCCACCCCCGTGGCCGGGTCTGTCCTCCCTGTTATTTTGATCAGGAGAGGAGACACGATGAAAGGAGCCTGCTCATTTTCCAGGGAAAAAAAAAAAAACAGTTAGAGGGTGCCAAGGAGTGGGTAGTGGGATGTCAAGTACTTTCTCACTTTTAAAGATGGCTTATATAACCTGCTTGGCTATATTATTGTTGTTATTATTTTTTTTTTCTCTCCCCCCCCCTCCAGTTACATAATCCTAATTTATGAAAGCATTAGGAAATTGCATTCCCCGCTGTTACGTGAGCCTCTGTATATAATGGCCCCGGAGCTTGTTAGGATGCTGTGCTTGGCCCCTCCGCCAGCTGTCTCCCAAGAAGCCCCAGCCAGGTGTGGAACAGCTATTTATACACATATTATTACTATATTTTAATTTTTTTTTTTTTTGCCATCCTCTCAGGCTGTGTCAGCCCCTCCAGGAACGGGATGGGTGCTCTCCCTGCCGATGGGCTGCTGGCTCTGGCATTCCTGTTTTCTTTTTTCCAGTATTTTTGGGATATGCCACTCATGGCAGAGGCTTGTCATGATTTTTGTGGGGGGAGCAGCCAAAATCGTCGCTGGGGCCAGGGATGGCTTTGGGGGCAGGCGGGATAGGAGCTGCAGAGCATCAGCGTGTAAAAAAACCCTCCACCGCATCCCGTCCCTGGCACCTTCTCCCCTTGGAAGAGCATCAACCCATAAATGTTTGAGCATCAACCCATAAATGTTTATGGGCTTTTGCCTTCCCCAGTATATATTTGTCTTTTGGAATAAAGGAGGGGAAAAAATATCTATATATTGCTCTTTTTTGTTTTTTAAATTCCATTTCACATTAAAGCTGAGGGTTTTTATGTCTCTGGGTACCTACCCTGGAGGGGATGGACCACGGGCAGCTGATGGGATGCTCATGAGAGGGTCGAGTCTAGAAGAGCTTTATTTGTGCAATTTCTTATTTTGAAGCAACCTGGAAAAAAACACCGAGCGAGCATTTCCTCGCTGATGCCTGGCTAGATAACCAGTGAAAGAGCCAGATTTTTTTTTTCAATGGGTTTATATTGTAAACTGTGGAGGGGGGGAAAAAATCCAACCCCTTTCTGAACGTCTTTTGCACGTCGCTGGTGAGGGTGCGCTCGCCTCGCTCCCAGGGGATGCGGGGACAGGCTGAACCCATCTTGCTTGCTGTTGAAATATTTATTCTGGCAGGGAGCAGTGAGCTGTCCTGCTCACTTGTTCCTCTCGCTGCAGCTGAAACTCGAGGGCAGCCTCTTATTCAACATCTTTAAAATGAAAAAAAAAAAAAATTGAAAAAAAAAATCAGTTATGACTTGGATCTTAAGTAAAACCACTTCAGAAGCTTAAAAATATTAGCTAGGCAAAATGATTAAGCAAGTGTGACGGGAACACATGCCGCTGTATTTAAGTTAGCCGCATGCAGTAGTTTCCTTTTCTCCCTTCGTTATTCTTTTAATTGCTTAAAAAAAGTCTCCTTTTGCTTCTGTACTGGTATCCTCTGGTCTTCGGGAGGTGGATGAGGGTAAAGGTGACTGCATCCCTCTCCAGGGCGGCAGAAGGGGATGCAAGACCACTAGGTGGGTGGCACTGGGATGCTCAGGGGGATGCTGGGGGAGTACCGGGGGGTACCAGGGTCTCCATGGGCAGGAGGCGTTAACCCTGGAGCAGCGACCGGCCGTGGATAAAGGAGCCCGGGGAATTCGCTTCGCTCCCCGGTGAGTCACGGTTCACCCTGGGCACGATGGAGGTTCGTCAGGGTGCCGAGCAATTAAAGCACCACTTGTTTGCGTTTTGTTTTTGTTTTTGTTTTTTTTTTCATTTATTTATTGTTTGAATAAAAGTTGCCATGACTGGCCCGTCGGGATGTTAGCTGCTTGCACAACGCTCAGAAGTAAATCAATCCATGTGAGTCTTATTCAGCTAGGGATAACTCCAATTTATGGCTTCCCTGTTTGTTTTAAGGGGGGGGGGAAAAAAAAGTTAATTTTTAATTCAAGTTGTGATGTACAAGTGTGAAAAGTGGTACTCGATGTCTGGGTGCATCTATGTGTGTTGGGATGGAGTTGAGGGTTACGTGGAACTGCCTTGTCAGGCTTAAGAAGGTAATTTTATCTTAAAAAAAAATAATTTATTTCCGACTCAAACGCTGTCTCTCTGGGTCTCTGCTCCACAGGCAAAAGTGTTAAAGCACCAGTGTCTGGGGCAAAATCGCTGCTCTGGTCTCCCCCTCTCCTGCTGCCCAGGGACGCTTTGTTCAGTAAGTAGGTATTTTATTACAAAAAATTGTTTTCACCATCGAGGGAGAAGCGAAACCACGGTGGGATGGTGCAGAGAGCCCAGTTGCTGTGCTAATTGGGTTGTTCTTCATTATCTGTCAGTGGGTGTGCTGGGGCTGGAGGCTGGAGGTGCGTCCCCTGGCTTGAGGGGCTGGGATTTGGGGTGAGGCTCATCAGGACTTGGGGTGACGCTGGCCCGGATTTGTGGCCCCCATCTCCTTCCCAGTGCATTTAGATCCATTGGGTTTTAGCTTGACCTTTGCATTTTAAAGAAAACTCCCTCCTGTGTTGCAATCTTGAAGCTTTTAGGGCTGTTGTGGTGCTGTGGAAGCAAAAGTGCTTTGTGCTAAGTGGGTCTTAAAAAAAACAAACCCCAGAGCAGTCAGCTCTTATTTTTCCATCCTGTTAATTTTCATCCTGACTTTCAGCAACAGTCAATAAAAAAGTTGGACAGAAGATAGCCTTTTTATTCTTTTTTTTTTTTTTTTTTTTTTTTTTTTAGCTGATGGTAAGATGCTAACTGCTGCTTTATGGAAAGAGCGAGTCAAAGCGTCTTCCCGTGGCTGCGGGGAGCAGAGGAGCTGCCACGGGAGGTTTTGTCCATGATCTTATCACCCCTTTCTGACCGTGGTGTAGTGTGATCTGTGGCTTAAAACTGCCATTTCAGTTCTCCCTCCTTCTTAAATCCTGTTGTAGAATCAAGCATGTGTGGTGTTTATTTTATATATTTAATATATTATCTATAATTTATATTTTTATAATTTTTAATATTTTTTCCTTTCTTCTTACCAGCTATTTGTGTGAAAGCCCCACCGTGTCTCTGGGTGGACACCTCCCCAGACCCTCCTGGACCTTCAAACCTTCTCCAGCAATTGCGTGGTGACAAGGTGAGACCCTCTCCAAGTCCTCCCCAGCCTTTCTCTTGCTGCCTCCCCCTTTCCCTCTCCCTTCCCACGAGGCCCCTGGGAGGGATCTGCGGCATGAACTTTCCATTTGGAGCTGGCAAATTCCTGGTATGCCGATTTCTAGGAAACGTGGCTCGGGATGGTGTGCTTGGTGAAACCCTAGCATGTGCGATACCTGTCTGTCCTCAGCCTGGGGTCAGACATCTGCATCCCATTCTCCGCTTGGAATTTTTCTCCTATTTTCTCCGGGCTGGAAGATAACAACATCTGTGTGGAGAGGGGATTGTTAAAAAAAAAAAAAAAAAAAAAAAAAGAATAATATAAATGGCTTGTTTTTATGGCGTGGATTTCTCTGCAGCGTGTGCTGGGGTTGCACGACGTGCATCCTCCCGCAGAAGAGGTTTTGAGGTTTTTTGTTTTTTTGCTTTTTGTTTTTTTTTAAATTGGTTGCAAAGATCATCGTTAGAAAGGGTTTTGGGTGAAGGGGGAAAAGGTTTTGAGATGCTCCCCTTGCTGGTTTTCCATGAGCGTGTTCCTGGCATCGCTTGCAGCCAGCCTGAAAAACAGGCAGCGGATAACGAAGGTGGGGGAAGACACCAGCCGCTGCCCAGCTTAAAAAAAGAAAGATACATGCCTTTTGTCAGACCTGCTTTTAAACAAAATAGACAAAAAACCACAGAATGGATATTTTCTGAAGCAGCAGCTGAATTAATGATTATATGGGAGTGCTAAAGGCAGGGACAAAGCTGTAGACGCTGCTGGCGACTTAATTGCTCGTGGGCATTGATCGTGGCTTCGTTTGCCCGAGGGTATCGGTCACAGCCTCTAGAGGAGGGGAGTGATGCTTGCAGCCACACTGGGGCAGAGGGTGACTTTGCAAGAGGGAAAGGTGCAGCTCTTGGTGCTTTTGGGCAATTCCAGGAGTTTATATTAATTCAGAGGGACACTGAGAGCAGGCGTGCGCCAGCACCTTGGGTCGGGATGTGCCGGCCCGAGCGAAGCACGTTGGGCACGTGTAGGAGTCCCCCGGACTCGCCAACCTCCTCCTTTGCTCAGCTAGAAGCTCTTTAATCTATTTCACTTTAATTAACACTGAAATAGTTGCACTTGGAGGAGAGGTTGTGTCCAGATGCGGAAACCTCTGGATTTTTAAGCTTGTTTATTATAGCTCTTAAATTACGGATTAAACAGCTAGAGTGAATTTTCAGATCATCCCACAGAGTGGGGGCAGATTAAAAGCAAACAAGTGAAAACCCCAAACCCTTTCCTTTGATGGTGAGGAATAACCTGGCCCTTTTGCAGGGGCTGTGGAGGGAGGAGGTGGCAGCTCTGGGTCCCTGCAGCCGCAACGTGCCCGGGTGGTGGCACAGACCAGACCCCGGTGTTGGGCTCAGAGCTTGAGCAGAGGCATTTTTGGGGTTTACAGGCTCCTGCAAGGGACTTTGCTTCAGGACGCGAAGAATCAAGCTGTGCTAAACTGCCCGAACCGTTCAAAATTGCCCCAAAACATGCAAAACCGCCCTGTTGCCTGTGTGCGCTTTTCCTGGGGTGTGCTCTGGATTTCTTTAATTGCCTTCCCATCGCTTTTATTCTCCGTGGATAGGAATCCCTTCCCTCTGGTTTGCCTCCAGCAAACTCTCAGTGTCAGCCCCTGGCTCCCTGGTATTTAAATCTTGGGACATCTCAGATATATTTCGTATATTTTTTTTTTCTTCCCTACAACTGTTTGTTTCAAATTAATTGGGATTTTGGACCCCAGCCAGCCTCCTCCTGCTGCTCCAAGCCGAAGATAAGCGGGAGCGCCACGAGCTTTTTCTCTAACCTAGTTGGAGCCGTTCTCGCTGGCCGGAGGAGTCTCGAGCTCTTTCATAACGTGGACCACAACGTTAATAGCCAGTCTTGTGGGCTTCATCCCTCCCACTGCTTCTGACGCAGAGCATCTCCCCTCCCGCTCGCCTTGGCCAGCTTCCCTGGATGACTCCACTAATTGCTTACGTAGAAAAAATAATGAGAAGGATGCGTATGATATATTTTTAGATGTCTCTTGGTGGGATTTAGCAACCGGCGAGCTGGAGCCAGCACCTCCCCATCCGTCCGTCTTCTGTGTCCTGGCGGTGGCTGCTTGGTGGACCTCGGGAGGTTCTGCCCTGGGAGGTGGCACTTCTTTTGCAAGCTGTTTCCCTTTATTTTGGGTCTTCTCCTGGTCCTTAATAAATGGGTTTTGGATGCTGTATCCCTGGTGCTGCACAGGATCTGTGCTGGGAAGCCCTGAGCCAGGGCATGGTGCTGGTGGTGTGCCCATGCCGTGATGGGCACCATCACCTCCTCACTCATCTCCAACATGATGACCATGGTGGTGGCAAGGCAGCGTAGATCATGGTGGCTTGGAGACCATCTCAGCACCCGAAGTAACCAACGGCAGGTTTTCCAACTTATAAATACCCACAAGATGACGAGTCTCACCACCAAAGTTGCCTTTTTTAGTGGGTTGTTTTTTGGTTTTTGTTTTTTTTTTTTCAGGTGTTCCCATCCGAAACCTCAGCAGAGCAGGGGAGAGGGAGCAGGCACAAAATCTCATTAAATACTACCCTGAAGATTCTGATAATTGGGCACTGCAGCAAGTAGTTCCCTTATTTTTTCTGCATGCTCCTTCCATTGCAGGGTTCTTTGTGTCTCGGTGGCTTCCTGTGCTGGGGGGCGGAGGGGGGCCGGGCTCCAGCTCTTCCCTTTCCACCCGGGTGCGAGAAGTGCAATTCTTCTTGCAGCACGACTTATCTGCCCTTGGAGCTGAAAACATCCTTCCTTTGCTCTTTTTTTTTTTTTTAATCCCCCGAATGAACAGTTTCTCCTGCTGGTTAACATCAGCTTCCACACCAAGGGCTGTGGGAAAGTTTCGCAATTAGAGTGGCTTTAATAGATCTGGTTTATGTCTTAAAAACCCCATCGCTTTCTAATTCTCCGTCACATGTTTCCTTGATTACGTGTGGCGCAGCAGCACGGCTACCAAAATAGCCTCACAGTCTGAAGGAAATCATCAGGAAATATGCTTTTCTTTTAAACCATGGGCAATTCTCTTTGCACCAGGCATCATTGGAAAAAGTCCGTGTTGTACTCAAAACCTGCCTTTTCTGGCACCTTGACTGCTCATGCGGTGATGTTGGGAGTGTGGTTTGTCCCCCCAAAATTTCTTCAAGTCTTGCTGTGGATTTTCTCTTTAGCCACCCAAATAGTTGGGATTCTTTTGGTGTTGGGTTTGCTTTAGTTTTTGGAGAAGATGCTGTGCCTTCAGGTGTCTCCATATGGGGTAATGCTTTGCTTGCCCCAGGCTTGGAGCCTGCTCTCTCCTTTTGGGGTGTTCTCAGGGTGGGGGCAAGAGAAAGCCAGGTTTGCCTGGGGTTGAGGTGCTGCTTTCCAAATAATAGAATCTCTCACAAATATGTAGTTCCTGGTGGAAAATAATAATACACTCTATAAAATAACTCAGAAGGCAAATGCTAGCCTGGTGCACAGATTTCTAGCACCTGTACCCAGGGGGTGCCCACCTCGACGTGAGCCGGAAGGCATGGGTGAAGCTTGGTGGCCATCAGCCCTTTGCTTCTTGCCCACGAGCACTTTCATCTCCCCTGGCTTTGGGGCTGCCCTCGATGCTGCCGACGTAGATTTAACCCCAGCCGGAACCACGCAGCTGCTCACTCAACTCCCCTCTCTTGGGATTGGGGAGAGAATCAGAAGTGTAAAAGTGAGGAAAAACTCGTGGGTTGAGCTAAAAACAGTTTAAGAGGTAGAGAAAAAGCCACACATGGAAGTAAAGTGAAGCAAGGAATTAATTCCCTGCTCTCCATCAACTGGCGGGTGTTCAGGGCTCTGTCACTTGGGAAGATGAACACCATATCTCCAAAATTCCCCCTTTCCTCCTCGTTCCCCCAGCTTTATACACTGAGCATGACATTCTGTGGCATGGAGTGTCCCTTTGAGCAGTTGGGGTCAGCTGTCCTGGCTGTGTCCCCTCCCAGTTCCTTGTACCCCCCCAGCCTGCTCACTGGTGGGGTGGTGTGAGGAGCAGGAAAGGCCTTG